TTGCGACAGGGCGACTTGCCTCAATCCGCTGTGCCAGCGCTGCGGGCGAGAAACCACCAAACACAACCGCGTGTATGGCTCCCAGCCGGGCAATAGCCAACATAGCAAAGAGCGCAGCTGGTATCATCGGCATGTAAATCAACACGACATCGCCTTTCTTGACTCCCTCTTCTCTCAAAACACCCGCCAATGTCTCAACTTCTTGTAGCAACTGCTGGTATGTGTACTTCTCTTTCTGACCGGTTACCGGACTATCCCAGCAAATAGCTACTTTATCGCCATTGCCGTTTTCCACATGGCGGTCCACACAATTGTAAGTCGTCGAGATCTCGCCATCGGCAAACCACTCCCAATGCTCATGTGGGACATTGCTCTTCTTCAGGTGTTTGACGCTCCTCTGGAACGCCTTGGATGGCTTCTTGTGCCAGTGTAGGTTGTTCGCCTGACGCTGCCAGAACTCCTCGGGGTTGTCGATGGAGGCCGCATAGACCTTGTCTTGGATATGTCCTTGAGGCATATTGTCCGTCCGTTTCTCAGATGTGAATTGATTTCGTGAAGCAGAGAATGCAAGTAGTCTCCTAGGTCTAACAATGAAGCTAGCGCGGGCAATGGGGCTATGAGCCGAGCAAGAAGTAAGCGATATGCCGGACCTGAGGATAGTGAATGCGGTCAAGCACGAGTAGCTCTTCCGGGAAAGCATATGGGCGTCATGAGCACTGATGTTTTAGAACGTTGCCGATCGGTCCAAGGGGACCGACGACGCTGACCTCGGAAGGAGCTGGCTCGGCCTACCCCAAGTTCCCCCGCAAAGCGCTAGTGTGGGGTGCTAACACGGTTGGGGATGACGTCTGCTTGGCAGGCTTCTAGAGGAGCTTTGTGCATGTTGTCAGCTCGATCTAGAACTACTTTATGTTGAATTGTGTTCTTTTGTGTAAAGCGCTTAAGATGCAGGAGATGGTAGTCTTCCAGGCGGACGGTGTTGGGACGGAAGTGGCTGGTGAGCTAGCACTGGAGAGATCAGAGCTATGACGTCTACTCCACGCGACTGCCACATGGGACGTTCGCGCCTCATGGCTATCAGAGTGTCGTGATATGAGTATTGTATTACGAATACGACATTCTGTATGATTTTTGTTGCGCCCGTAAGATCTAACCCACGCACATTTCCGGAAAACCATCTATTTCCGGGGAATCCTACCGGTGACGTACATACATAAACAACACCACCACCACCACCACCACCAACTACACCATCAGCCAAAATAAACTTTCCACCTCGCCAACACACCACACCGCCACCATCAACCACCGTAAAGCCAATCAAACAACGCACCATGTCTCTCACCCCACCGCCCAAAGCCCTCCTCTTCGACATCTTCGGCACCTGCGTAAACTGGCGCTCCACCGTCACAACCGCGCTATCACAATGCGCCCACACATCACTAAACTCCGCCACGGCATCCCTAGCCTCACGCCTGCGCCTCCGCGCCTCAGAAATGAGCGACGAACACTGGGGCCAATTTGCACAACAATGGCGGAACAGCTACAAGGCTTTTACTAAACAACTCGCAGCCGACCCATCGATACCATGGGTATCTGTCGACGACCACCATCTAAGTGCACTCAAGAAACTCATTGCAGAATGGGAATTAAACGGCCTATGGACCGACGAAGAAATCCGCGCATTGAGTCTAATATGGCATCAACTCAACCCCTGGACCGACTCCGTCTTAGGAATGTCCTTGTTAAACACCGCCGGTTTCCACACATGCATGCTGTCGAACGGTAATTTGAGTCTTCTCTCCGATCTACGTGCGTACAGCCAGATACCCTTCACGCACATCTTCTCCGCCGAGATGTTCGGCACGTACAAACCCAGTCCGAAAGTATACCTGGGCGCGGCGGAGAAATTGGGACTTAGACCGGAGGAATGTGCGATGGTGGCTGCGCATTTGAATGATCTCAAGGCGGCGAAGGGGTGTGGGTTGAGGACTGTGTATGTGGAGAGGGCACAGGAGGAGGATTGGAGTGAGGGGAAGGTTAAGGAGGAGAGGGAGGCTGGGTGGGTGGATGTGTGGATTGATCTGAAAGAGGGGAGTGAAGGGTTCGTTACCGTAGCGGAAAAGTTGGGTGTCAAGGTGGATATAGAAGGGAGTATGGAGACTAAGAGGGTGGTGTCGCTTCCTACGAAAATGGATTGAAGGGACGGTGGATGATCTATCGGGGTGTCTGGTGTGGAACTTTGGAGACCATTACAGTAATGACATGCTACCATCGCTTCTTCACCCGGGCTTTGGACGGCTATGGCTTCTCCAAGTCATTACTCTGATTGTTCGCTTCACCCTTTCCGTACTGCGGATACCCCGGCCTACCTTGTGGTCTATTTCCTGTTACTTGGACGCCCAATTGAGGCTTCAAATCCGTCTTATGAACAGCACCTTCGACGCACGCGAAGACTCGAAGAAACCCGTGTATTTACAACCACCATTCACAAAAACCTGACTATCCTACACTACTCCAAATCTCCCAACCACTGTCTAATTCCTCTTCCCCCCATCTTTCTCTCCACCCTCCCCTTCCTCCTCCTCCTTCTCCACAAACATAGTCTCCTGCGCACTCCAAAGTTCACTATACAAACCATCCCGATCAATAAGATACTGATGCGTTCCACTCTCCGCCACATTACCCTCTCTCAACACGATGATAACATCGGAGTCGTAAATAGTGCGGAGACGATGGGCGACAAAGACGGACGTGCGGCGCTTCTCTTTGACGAGTGAGTTGATGTGTGAGAGGAGGGCTTGCTCGGTGTGCGTGTCGAGGGCGGATGTCTAGTATTGCAAGTTAGTCATTGGTGAAAGAGTAAAGTGGTAGGGGGGATAAGGACGTACAGCTTCATCGAAGAACAAGAACGGCGGGTCCTTAAGGACAAGTCTCGCGATGGCTAGTCTTTGCTTCTCGCCACCTGAAATCATCATTCCGCGCTCACCAACCATGGTCTCGTATCCATCGGGGAAACGGCTGATACTCTCGTCGATACGCGCTTTCTTTGCCGCTTCGATAACTTGTTCTTGTGTCGCTTCTAGGTTGCCGTAGTGGATGTTGTGTTGGATAGTGTTGTTGAAGAGCGGGGTGTCTTGTGGTACAACACCAATAGCCCTCCTCAAGCTATCTAACGTAACATCGCGAATATCTTGGCCATCAATCAGAATACGCCCCTCCTGTGCGTCGTAGTAACGGAAGAGAAGTCTTAGAATGGTAGACTTTCCGCAACCGCTAGGACCAACAATGGCGACTTTCTTGCCCGCAGGAATGGTGAGATTGAGGTTCTTGATGATGGGTCGGTCGGGTCGGTAGCCGAAGGATACGTTTTCGAATTTGATCTCTCCGGTCTTGAGGGCAAGAGGCTTGGCGTCGGGCTTGTCTTTGACGGCTACGTTGACTTTTTGGAGGTTGAACAGTGTTTCCATGTCTAGGAGACTTTGGCGGAGTTCGCGGTACATGGAGCCGAGGAAGTTGAGGGGCACGGAGAGCTGGAAGACGAGCTGGTTGACCATGACGAGGTCGCCGACGGTTAGTTGACCGGTGGCCACGCCGTTGGCTGCGAGGTACATCATAGCGGTGAGGGCGGAGGAGAATATGATGTTTTGACCGGAGTTGAGGAAGGCGAGGGAGGTGGCGACCTTGATGGACGCCTTCTCGTAGTCTTTCAGAGCTTTGTCGTAGCGGCCGACTTCGTACTTTTCGTTGTTAAAGTACTTTACTGCCTCGTAGTTGATCATGGAGTCAACGGCGACCGTCGCAGCCTTGTTGTCTGCGGCGTTGGCCTGCTTCCTGAACTTGGTGCGCCATGAGGTGGTCATTATGGTGAAGACAGAGTACGCGGTCATGGTTGTGCCTGTGATGAGAGCGAATTGCCAGCCATATTGGTACGTCAGAATGCCACATACTAGAGAGATCTCTAATGCTGTAGGGAAGATATGGAAGACCATGGCAGTCAATAAGAAGCTGATACCCTTGGTACCGCGATCAATGGCGCGCGTCAAGCCTCCTGTTTGCCTCGATAGATGGAAACTCAGGTCCAGCCTTAGCAAATGATCATAGACACTGCAAGCGACCTTACGAATAGCCTTCTGGGCGACACTGGCAAAGACGGCATTGCGCAGTTCCTGGGAAACAGTGGCGCCAATACGAGTCATTCCGTCTGAAGGGAGTCTCAGCCAGGGTGGACATGGGATGCATTGTTGGGTCTAGCTTACATGCGATGATCATAGAGCCTGCCACTGTGGTCGCTGTGCCGCCAACAGCCGCAAAGTCTATGTTCATGGCGTCTACAATGCTCTTGAAGTAGAAGGGGACTTGGACGTTCAGCAGCTTTGCGCCTACCAGCAGGCCCAGACTGATGCCGACCCTGAAGCGCGTGCCCATGTTGTCCTTTGGCCACAAGTATGCCGACATCTCTTTCATAATGGCCCAGTCAGCCTTGCGCTGCTCCTTGTTGGTCAGGACCTGCTCCTGCAGCAATGGGTCCGTCTTTGCGACTTTGGCCGCGGCGGGGTCGGCGGCAGGTTTGGTGGCTTCGATGGCGGGCTTAGAGCCGGGCTTTGGCCGCTGGCCGTGCGCATCCTTTCTGTGTAGCGGAGAGCAGGTGAATACGCGAATGCCGTGGTGGAGAGGATGCGGGCGCAAACTGGACGATCGAAGACCCGGCCGACTGGCGGCGCGGGCGAGTGGTTGGATTAACATGGCGATGTCACATGTTAGGTCTCTGCACCGCTGTCACAGGAGAGAGAAGCTATGGAGAGCTTCAATGGCGGAGAGGACAAGATGGCAAGAGAGTGTTTGCTCGTGAGTACCTAGACAGCCGCAGCCATGCATCCCACGTTGTCTAGCGCGTTTTGGGCGGCAGGGCTGAAGCGAGGCGTTCTTGCATCATCGCTGCTCCGAGCTTGACCAGAACATCTTCGCCGCCCGTCACGCGCCAATTGCCCGGCACAGCCATGTTACGACCGGCTGCCTCGCCCTGGAGGAACTTCTCGCCCACCTCCGCCGCTGCCATACGGCGGACGCCCGTTGCTGCGCGATGCATCAACATATCAGCCACCAGCTCGTCCAATGAGCCCGCGCTGCAGCAGGCAGTCAGTGTTGAGGGCACCGCGACGCCCATGCACACACCAGGTAAGAAGAGTAGATACAAATACATTAATTATACAAAGGCTAAAAGAACCGTCAGACGCCCGATTCGAAGTCATTGGCACCCCGTTCTCCCTCCTCTCCGTCTCCCTCTCCGCCTCACAGACGCTCTACACCCGCCGCGGCACACTCGTCGGCCTCAGCGGAAAGTCAGAGAACACGCTATCAACCCTCTCCTTCCTCGAACCCCTCCAGAGGGCCCCCGTCGGCATCCCCTTCCTCTACCAGAAAGTGTCTTCGACGAGCCCCGTCACAGCTCTCGTCTCCACAAAGGCACCCATATCGAGTATCGTCTCGGTCAACATGGACGGAAGGGATGATTGGATTGTTAGCCAACGGAATGCGTTGCTTGCCTGGACTGGCCACACTCTCAAGTTGAAGCCACAGTACAATGTAAAGTTGGGGCTGGCACACTGGGGAAACACATACATTACTGGCAGGGGATTACTTGCGCTTGCAGGAAGCGGACAAATATACCAGGTCCAGGTCAAGGCTGGCGAAAGCTATGTTGCGCATCCCAGGTATGTTGAGACGACAGAAATACCCAGAACTTTACACTGACAGCATTGTAGCAACGTCGTAGCGTACACAGCCTCCAACACCCCACCAATTCCTTTCAGATTCAAGTCGTCGAATCTCCGCTTCCAAGTGCCAGACCTTGGCTTTGGCTCAATGGTCCAGAACACCAAGTTCTTCCGAACCATGAGCAAGACAGGCACATGGCGGGCTCTGGCAACCACATATTACACTCTCAAGACATGGTTGCGGAGAACAGTCTGGGGAGATAGGGTAAGACAACTCCCTGCATACCATTGTTTTTGCGAATGCTGACACTTCGCAGTTATTCCTCCGTTTCGAAGGCCCAACCACCATGCTCATCCAGTCTCGCGCTTCACGAATCAGCGACGTTCTTACCCTGAGAAACGTCGATGAAATCGCGGACAGCCCACCAGGCGCTGTCGAAGACGCCGCCACGCGGAAGATCAAAGAGGAAATCAAGTCAATAGGAGAGGGCACAAAAGCACCGATACCCAACACAGACGCATCGGGCACAATTCGGTATGCCACCGTGAAAGATGGCAAGGCTGAGTTTGAGAAGCCCAAGGTAGAGGAGGTGAAGGTATAGAGCATCTGTACTGTATCTATATTTATGACGTGGACCTGTGCAGTGTGGTCTCAAACAGAAGGCGCTGCTGTGTGATTTGAAGTGCTCATACCTAACGTGGGTGAAATATGCATATATCAAATGTTTTTACTTGATAAGAAAGACACGATGTTTGTGAGTATAGGGAAAGTATCGTTTGTTGTGGGAAAGGGCTACTGCTGACTTTGAAATGGCGTGTCAAACGTCACCTGGGCAGCAATGTGATGTTGGACGCTAGATCGTCTAGCGTGAACGCGACATCTCCCAGCCACTGCCCGCATCGCTTCCACCATCTCGCGTTTGCGACAGACGCTGGCCTGCGCGCGACATCACAGTCAAGACGCGTGCCGACTACGCCGCAACCACCGCTATGGCGGGGTATACCTGCGCGTGCGTATTGTATGACTGGACATCATGTGCCACAGTACGCGACATCACGCGCGTGGCCTGCTTGTCCACCAAGGGTTATTGCCATCGATTCAGGCAAAGAGACCAGTCTTGAGACTTCACACTGACAAACCCAAGGCAGCCTCTTTGACGCTAGCTCACATCGACGCTTCACTGTTTCGACCTTACTCCACAGATTTAGAAGATGCAGACCCAGCCGAATCATTTGAGCAACGATCATGTCTTCGCCAAAGACGAAACTGCGCAAAACATGACGGAGATCGAAGCAAAGATAGCAATTCCAAGTACAGAAACAGCTGTTCCATACACGGTCTTCACCAGGGCCGAGCGGCGCATGATCACATGGCTGATCGGATGCAGCATGTTCTTCTCGCCATTTACAGCCAACATTTATTTTCCATGCCTTGAAGAACTCCAACACGCTGTGGGCGTCAATGCCAGCCTAATCAACCTTACCATCACGACATACCTCATTGTTCAAGCAATCGCACCAGCCTTCTGTGGAGACTTGGCCGACAATCTCGGACGGCGACCTGTGTACCTCATCACTTTCGCTATATACGTCTGCGCAAACCTGGGTCTCGCTCTTCAGCAGAACTATGCTGCTCTGATGGTCCTGCGTGGCGTCCAGAGTTTCGGCTGCTCCGCAACGGTAGCTATCGGGTACGGAGTCATTGCCGATGTAGCGACGCCAGCTACTCGGGGAAGCATGTTAGGGCCTGCAATGATTGCGACAAATCTCGGTCCAAGTATAGGCCCTCTAGTCGGCGGTGTAATGGCATCAAGAACTGGATACAGATGGGTGTTCTGGTTGCTAGTCATTATTGGAGCTGCCTTTCTGGCCGTTCTAGGCATCGCACTCCCTGAGACTGGGCGCAACGTCGTGGGAAACGGCAGTATTATAGCACCCAAATGGAATAGGCCTTTGTTGCAGTCAAGCCGGCAGCGACAGTTGACAGCACCCAACGAACCGAGGGCTTGGAAGAAGAGAAGTCTCATACCCAACCCTTTCAAAGCTCTGCTGGTTTGTTTTCATCGGGACACTGCTGCGGTTCTTTCCATCAGTGCCGTCTACTATGCCGCTTACTACTGCATCCAAGCCTCTATCCCGGCCATCTTCGCGGAAATTTACGATCTCGATGAGCTCCAAGTTGGTCTATGCTACTTTTCCATAGGGAGCGGTGTCATCCTTGGTGGTTACGTCAACGGGAAACTAATGGACTACAACTACCGCTCCACAGCCAAGGCGAACAATATCACGGTCGACAAGGTTGCTGGCGACGATCTGGTCAAGTTTCCCATCGAAAAGGCACGCTCTCGGTTGTCGTGGCTTCTGATCCCGATATCGACTGCAGTCATTGTGGGGTATGGATGGGTTTTGCGCAGAGAAATTGTATGCCATCTCCAACACTCACACAGTCGGAGAACTGATAATTATGCAGCACATAAGTGTACCACTGATCTTTCTGTTCGTGCATGGATTTCTCGCTACATGCATCTGTCAGGTAATTGCTTTCAAATTGTACAACCGGTAGCAGTATTGACAACGTTCCAGACGCACAACACCCTCATTGTGGACATTTCCCCGCAGAACACAAGCACTGCCGCTGCAGCAGGTAACATCACACGATGCGCTCTTTCAGCAGCAGCTGTTGCCGCCATGCAGCCTCTTCTAGAAGTGATGGGCAAGGGCTGGTTCTTCACGGCTCTCGCCGCAATCTCTGGTATACTCAGTACCATCGCAACAATGTTCATTCGACTCAGAGGTATGGCATGGCGCAATGAACGGCACGCACGTGAGCAAGACGGATGTACGCAGAGAACGGCGCACAGAACCGAGGGAAAGTGAGGTGATAACCTCTCCTCTACAACTTCGCGTTCAACTTCCGAGAATCGCGCTTACCCTTTGCCTCATTTGCGGCGACGTACCCCTCGTATCCATCTGGAAACTTGGTTACCAGGCTTCGCATCCCCTCAATCGCCCTACATATGGTCAATGGACGCGCCAAATCTGAGCGAGGCTCGCGACTCACAACTGTCGAGTAGTCTTGTTCTGTTTCCAGCAACAGGAGACTACAAGATTGTTCCGACTTGTTCGTTAGCGTGACCATGCGCTATAGAACGTCGCAATACTCACACTGCGTAGAGTTCGTTCCTGTCGTCGTAGTCCTCCTGCGGATTCGATGCAGGGACGATCTCAAGATACGCGTCTAAATGCGTTTTGTTGAAAGCATACCTCGTAGCGCGCCACGGTGCTGCTTCGTACTCATGATGCCCAAAAAGGCATCCTGCATCATATAACATCGGACTTCCCGTCTTCTTGTCGATGCTGACATTACCGTGCCACATGTCGCCGTGTAACAGGACAGGCTTGATCTTGTTACCACTACTTTCCATCGGACGAAGGAGCCGAGGAACTACCTTTGTCATAAGATCGGCGCATAGAGCATCCATTTCCGGATCTTCACCATGGATGGAACGCTCTAGCTCTATGAGATAGCGTAAGTTGCGACTGAAGTACTCTTCCCAAGTATCGCACCATCGGTTGTGATTAACGATGTTTCCCTGGAAGGCTACAATCTCGCGTCAGATCCAAGGTACCATTCGCGCACAACAAAAATACCTACTGTCGATATGAAACCCAAACTTCCCTGTTGGCGACTCATTACTATGCACGCCAGCCAGTACGCCAACAAACTCCTCGACAAACGGCTTAATAGATGCGGTCAAGACCTTCTCCGCATACACAGGCGCATCTTCCATATCGCAAAAAGACTGGAGATAGAAGAAGCGCTGCGAGTCCGATGCGAAACAACCATATGCGTATGGTCGAGGTACGTGGTTCGGTACTGCGGCGTACAAAGCAGCTGTTGACTCGTACTCGGCTTTGACCATGTGTTTCGCATTTGCATCGCGGTACTCTTTTAAGAAGAAGGACTGTGGTCTGTCGTTGATGGTAGTGTCGATCTTGGTTAGTATCGACCAGTGTGTTGCACCTATGGTGCGGACTAGGTCTATGCTTGCGCCCTTTGGTAATGCTGGAAGGAGCTGTGAGCGTCCGGTGTCATGGCTTTGGAGTGCTAAATCACTTACCAGCAACGATATTATCGTCGATATACTTGCCTTCATATCTGTCCTGCTCTTTCAGAATAGCCTGGGTAAAGCTATCGTCGATTTTGACCATGTTGAGATGAGGTAAAGAGTATCGCAGCACTACTCAAAGTTTGGTATGGCTACTGAGTCTCTTTGAATAGCCTTTGCGCGCCCTTGGTGATCCTGCGTGGTAGTAACGTGCGCGTTTACTAGAAGCGGATGAGAGACAGCTGCGTTACACGATGAGGGGTCCAACTGTGCCGCGTGGCTGACTATACAGTATGACGGCATTAGCCGGGGGGAAGCACGTGAGAGTACTCGTGACTCGCTTAAGGTGGTCCAAGGATTGGTAAAGGTAGTGAAAATTTGGGTGCGGTACTCGGTTCACGGTCCACCATCTATGTCGAAAAGTCGCGTATTCTTCTCGATGCCTTACAAGTTCTACTTGCAAGGTTCCTGTCGGTTATACGTTTCTCATTCGAGAATACCGTTTGTGTGTATGGCAGAGTTATCATCTGAGGAAGTTCTGAGTGGCTCGTTGGTCTGCGTCATCGCCGTACCAGCAGATGAAGTGCATTGAGGGTTACTCGCAAAAAGTTTGGATTGCGGCATGTCACTTCTATATGCGACAGTCTCAACCAAGGATGCGTATTTTTGTTAGACAAGTCCCGAAACTTGCTGAGGTTATGTTATCACTGGCTCCTACGTGAGTCAAAGGGTGTGGGAACGTGGTAGCAGCTCAACTCTATGGCCAACCACAACTATGGCATAGTAATGATCAAGCTTTGGTCTAAGCGTAAGGCGTTAAGAGAGTATATAAGAAAGCTTTCGTCCCTTGTTTCTGCACACCTCTTGACATCCACACTGAACCCACACCCAACCCGCACAAAAAAGATCACAACAAGCAAAAATGACCGCCCCAACTACCTTCACCCGCTTCCCCGATCTCTCAGCAGAGCTCCAAGTCATGATCATAAACTACACCCTCGAGGAAGACATGGCGCAGCGTGAAGATGAATTGTTATTGCACCTTCACGCACCCTCATACTGCAAAACCAACAACATCAACGTCGACTCGCAATCCGCGACTCCTCGCACAACAATACGGCTACCCAAGCTCCCCTCCGTGTACCACACCAGCCGTCTATTCCGCGACGAGGCCCTCCGCACGCAGCCTCTGCATCAAGTCTTCACAGATGACGCCGTTGCGACACTACATTCGCGCAGCTCGATGTTCGTGTACAATCCAGCGCACGACGCCGCCGTAAACTCTCTCCACGAGTGCCATTTGAGAAGCCCTCACTCCGATCTTACGACCTTCGACGCCAGTGGGTCGATGGCTATCTATAACCCAGTGCACGACACGGTACTACTCCAGGTACACGAATGTTGTTTGAACAGCCTAACCGCCGACTTGTGGCAACTATTCCACGTCATCAAAGCGGCGCTCTGGGCCCCCGAGCGTTGGTTCGTTGTCGCGATAGTAGAGCGAACGAGAGTTCTTGGGGTGGATGGACCCGGAAACCCTCTGGATCAGATGTGGTGGGTTTCGCAGGCCCTTTTCCGCGATATAGCGAAGGAGAAAGTAGCGCCTGTTTCATGGGGAAAGATTTGGCTTTTATTCGCAGATGTTATATTTACACGGCGGGTAGAAGAGTGGACGAAAAGAAGGATTGAGGACTTTGAGCGGCTTAGAGAAGAGAGTGGATAGAATGGTAGGTAGCGTCTTTTGCAATAGTCGTCTTGTCAGATCTTGGTCTCTTTGAATAGACCTCTTGTATAGTCCCGTCTCTATTACTGTAGCTTGATTTATGTACCTTGTCTTCTCGTACATCTCAACGTCAACCATGATGACCGCGTTTTCCCCTTGTGACAGCTTCGTGAAATCCGCGGTGCATATTGCTAGTGGTGTTTATAGATCTTGTATTCGTTGTAACTATATGTCATAGTGATGCAAGCAAAAGCTTAGGACCAACACATACAACACCAACGCAATCCACATCTACAAGTGATCCATCTAATATATTCCAACCGAACCCAACACCTCACTTCGCCTTCCCACCGGCCCTCTCCCTAATCCTCTCGTCCTTCTCAAATCGCTCTTCAAACATCCTATAGAACAAGCCAAGCCACTCCTTCTCGCGATCACTCAGCTGACGCGCAGGGTTCTTCCAGCTATTCGCCAGTATCTCCTTGATACGGCGTCTCAGCACCTTCAGCGCGACAGCAGCCCGCCATTCACGAACTGCGAAGCGGATGACATTGCCGGGCAGACTGATCACGCCTGCATGGAGCTTGAAGTCCATATCGGCAGCGACCATGAGTACCATGGGAAGTGGGTAGGCGATTGAGGTCGAGTGCGCGTTGTAGAACTTGTTGCTGGATTGCATGATGTTGTAGTAGGATAGGAAGTCGGCTGTTCGCGAGCCTTTGTTGACGGAGGTTGGTCCGAGGCTGACGGTTTGGTTGTTTGAGATGTTCCGCCAGCCCTTGCCTTCGCGGGTAAGGATCTTGGGGTAAAATGCTGTGGCGATGACCGAGTTGACTAGAACATCGTTGTCGGTGTGGAGGTCGTATTGTGCTGGCACCTCAACGAAGACACGGTGTCGTGTCGTATTGCGGTAGCGGCCTATCGCGCGACGCTCGTCGGGCGTAAGTTGTATAAACCCGGCGTCAACCAATGACGAGAAGAGCTGCGCTTTGAGATCCTCGATGTTACCCAGGTTTTGCGGACTGAGGAAGTTCTTGTGGCAGAATTGCATCTCAGACCGTCCCGGAGTAGTGCATACTGCTTTCCAAGCCCTGTAGGCGTTGTAAGTTGTGAGGAGGTCCGAGTCGCCCTTCTTGAACGCAAGGCGAGCGATGTCAGCTCGTTGCTTTTGTTGAAATGGTGACAAGAACGGGGATTTTGAAGAGACAATGGCAGCAATGGTGATAGCAACATCAACACACGCAAACGTACTTGCAAGCAGAACAAGCTTGCCCAAGTGTGCGTCCAACGGAAGCTTCGCGATCTGACGACCAAGAGGTGTGAGTTCTTCACTTGGCGTCAACGCGTCGACCTCTACAAGTGCATCGATAGCGCGACGGATGTTCTTGGAGGAGGGTGGGTCGAGTGCCTGAGCAAGGGTGGCTTCGATATCACCAAGCTTGCAAATCTTTACGCGCATGACCAAATCTTGGAGCGAAAGTCTGAGCATCTCAGGGGTTTGCTGTTCTGCCATGAGGCTGTCGTGACGGAATTTTGTGAAGAGATGGAAGCACAGGCCCTCTTGTACACGGCCGGCACGACCACGGCGTTGCTTTGCGTTTGCTCTCGAGATGAAGGACTGAGTCAGACGTGATAGCTGTCTGCGCTCGTCAAACCTCATCTCCTTATGCTTACCAGTGTCAACAACACAGGTGATATCCGGGATCGTGACTCCGGTTTCGGCGATGTTGGTAGCGAGCACGATCTTGCGTACGCCCGGGGGTGGAACAAGGAACGCAGCTTGCTGATCCTCACTCGAAATAGTGGAGTGTAGCGGGTACACATACCAGTCAGCCTTGAAAGAAGGATGACTAGCCAGTATATCGTTGAGCTGACGAATCTCAGCAAGTCCCGGAAGGAAGACTAAGATAGCGCTGCTGAAGCGACTCAGCTGCGGGTCAAACGCGACTGTCTCGATCAAACGTGTGATCAGGTCGTAGTCAATGGCATATTCGTCGTAGTTGGAAAGCACATCGCGTGTTAGTTGGCTGTAACCTGGAAGCTTG